CATTAAATTCCAGTGAAATATATTTATGTTTGTGGTTGTAATGTGACAAAATATGGAAAAGTTCAAGGGGTATGAATACTTTTGCAAACCACTGTATTTTCAAAATCCAGTTGGTAAAGGGGTTTTCTTCTACAGTTAACTTTCCCTTTTCCACAACTTGTCATTAGCAAACATTGTTTCTGAGCAAACTTTGTTTGCACAGGTACGGACGAAGACAGATAACACATCAGGAAGGAAATGCAGCTTGTGTGTGATGCATCAGCTTGAAAAAATGTTTATGTGAGCCTGGCCCCATCAGATGTTGCTGTGGAGCGAGTGTGGAACTGGATTGTAGTTCTATAGAGTAATATTGTATAAAATGGATTCCTTTTTCCAAGAAGATGCTTTATAAATGTTTGTGTGTACCTCTAAGTCTTTTCACAATCCTGACAAGCTCATTCTTGTAAGGGGCACTAAAATTGGGGCAGATCCATCAGCATTTGTTTAAATAATGAACATCTGAAATCACTGTATGCATGCCCAACAAGTCCTCTGTAGACAGCCGTTGGCAAAGGCGTAACTTTGCAAAGGACTGGTGTGGACATGTCCCCACCAACTTTGGCCGGACAGGGACAGTCCCCACCAATATTCACACACCTGTTTTTTTTTTCCTTTGCGTGCATCTACATTTGCCAACAGAAACCAGCACGGCAGTGTCCAAAGCTTTTTCAGAAATTTTTTTTAAATAGACCAAGGAGCTGCTACAAGTCTGCAACACCTCCCCCTTGCCCCTTCCCTTCCTTTTCTCAGGCTGGCTGAAGCTTTGGGAAAAACTTTATTCTTTACAAAGAACCAAAAATAAGTTAAAATCTCCCAACAGGACACATAAAGTATCCTTTCTAATGAAATGTTGGCTTGCTGCTAGTCACCTGTTTCAGCTAATGTTAGCAATCACGTTTTAGTGATGACATTTAATCTACTGTATTATTGAGTTTTTTTTTAATTAGTTAAACTGTATTTTAATGCCAAGATTTAGAGTCCATTCTGATGATATTTACTGATTCCCTGTTATAATTTACATGCATAGTCACTGATTATTTCTGTAATTAATGTACTATCTTCATAATTTACATGTTATTTTCTTGACTTTTTAAAGCTGACTGGATTCAGGTGGCAGTAAAAACATAATAATCTTTTAATCTATCTGTTGATGTAGGAGCTGGATACAGAGAGGCAGAGGCAGCAGGTAGGACAGAGGGTCTCAGGTAGGACAGTGGGTCTCAGGTAGGACAGTGGATCTCAGGTAGGACAGTGGGTCTCAGGTAGGACAGTGGATCTCAGGTAGGACAGTGGGTCTCAGGTAGGACAGTGGATCTCAGGTAGGACAGAGTGTCTCAGGTAGGACAGAGGGTCTCAGGTAGGACAGAGGGTCTCAGGTAGGACAGAGGGTCTCAGGTAAGAGATGGAGGTGATGGGCAGGTGTGAACGAAATATTATAAAATGTTATTTTGAGTGCATTTTAGTCCGTTTTGTGAACTTAATATAATAAATTACTGATCTAAAGACATAATCTACAGCAAGATTAACAGTKTTATTTTATTTTGACCAGTATAAAAGTGGTAAGCTTATAATTGGCCTGAAAACAGTCCAGATCTCAACCCAATTGAAAACCTGTGATGGAAATTGGAAAAAAAGGTCCACAAGAAAGCTCCGACCTGCAAAGCTGATCTGGCAACTGCTATCAAAGAGAGTTGGCACCAAATTGATGAAGAATACTGTTTGTCGCTCGTCAAGTCCATGCCTCAGAGACTGCAAGCTGTTATAAAAGCCAAAGGTGGTGCAACTAAATACTAGTGATGTATTTTGAATTGTCTTTTGTTTATTTATTATTCCTCACAGGGCTATTATCAACCACTAGGTAAATACATTTGAACTTGAATATAATTGTTATGAAATGACTCTTCACAGGGGTACCTATTCAAGGTTAAGACATACTTTAAATTGCAGTCACACATTGTCCATATTTGCCCATGTGGATTCTTATTTCTTGGCACTGGGAAAATACAAATACAGTCCACCATGATGAAGCTCCAAGGAAGTCACCCACAACCAAGTACTTCCTCCTTTTCACACAGAGTTCTGCTTCTTCTTCCAGTCAGTAGATTAGAAACTGGAATCTAAAAATTTGAATCATTCCATTAAAATTGAAATGTTCCAAATGATACTAGAGAGTCAATGTCCAACCCTACAGACACAATTATTATTTATTTATTTATTTATTTATTTATTTATTTATTTATTTATTTATTGTTCCTGCTCTCGGAGGAGTAAGACGCTCCTGCCCTCCCTTAAGCCTGAAACATACTCACTCTGACACCGACAAGTCAACGCGCGGTCATGTGGTTGTTCGGCAGTCATTTTCGCACAAACCTTTCATAGTCCCTACGACACCGCCACGCCGAGTTCGGGAAACCCCCCTCCCTGAAATGTATGTCACTGCATGGAGTTCCCCCTCAACAGCCGATAATGCAGGAAAAAATTCAGACTCTCACCCGACGTATTTATCCATATCTGTCCTGGTCAAAGCTCCACAGTTTTTATCAGTCAGATTCCTCCGTGCACAACGTCTGTTTTATCTCCATTCATGAGTTTTTCCCGGAATGACTATCTTTATAAAACTCTACTTCCTGGTGTCGGCTCTCGGAGCGAGTCGGGGTCTTTTTTCCCCTCTTTTTGTTTTTTACCGAGTGCAGCAGTGCATTCAGCACAAACAAACAAGCCATAAGTTTTTCACAGTTTATCTTATAAAACTCTGCTTTCTGGTCTGGGAGCGAGTCGTTCTTTTTTATTTTTTTTTTCGCAGCACAAACAAACACGCCCACAACCAATCAGACCAATCACACATTACCGTCGACACGGGATGGGGGTCAAAAAGTTCTGCCGGGGGCTTGTGCTAACTCTTTTTTTTTTTTGTTTCAGGTTGGTTCATTTCTTAGCCTAAATGGGAAAGGCAAACCCCATCCAACAAATACTCCTCCTCATCATCATTACTTTAATCCTAATATTCATCTTTAATCTGAAAATACCTAGAACAGATGAGTCAATTCCAACACCGCGTGGACCTCCACCTGTTTGTCCATCAGTCAGCTCTGATCAGACCATCACTCCTCTGCTGAACACCAAACATTTCCTGGTCTCGGCCTTCATGGACCAGAGACAGAAGGGATTCGACATACGCATCATCGGCATGTTTCATAGAGACTCCATCCAGAAGCTCCACTGCCTGTTCTGCTGTGTTGGACATTTAGGTGAAACTACTCCCACAGCAGTCTTAGTCCACTCAGATCACTTTGGTTTTCCCTTTGCTGCTACAGACATCATGTGTCAGATTCCTCAAAACTGCAATCCTACACACGTCACCCTTCTGACTCAACCCAGTGCAGAGCACTTATCTAAACTCACTTGGATTCCTATAAGAAACAAAAAATCTAATGAAAAAGAAGACAAAAGGGTGAACTTCACGGTCTGCATTTCCAATCTGTTTGGAAACTACAACAATGTGCTTCAGTATACACAGGCTCTGGAGATGTACAGGTCAGTGAATGTGTCAACACTTTACAAAATCGGCTTTTCAACTATTACATTTTTAAAATCAGTGAATATCCTTTTGGAACAATGTAACCCTTTCAAGAATATTTAGCTCTGCAAGGACCACCACTGTGATAAACATAAAAAAACTTCTTTAAGCCATTGCTTTTTAAGATTTTTACATGGACATGCAGAATGTTGTGGCAGCAGTGTTAACAATGTTGGCAAGTCTTCAAAAGTGTTTAGGTGACTTGCTGTTATGTCTTGGTGGATGCAACATAAATGATAAAATCCAAAAGAAAGATTAAATATAAAAAAACTAAGTAACAATTTATGTTTTAAAGTCTCAAAGCAAAGCACAAAACAGAACACATCAAAGGGCTGAGTATTCCTCAAAAATGAACTGAAAAACAGCAAAACCTCTTCTGATAAGTAAACAGTCTGTCCATTATCTTAAACTGCTTCTTCCTTTCTGGGTGATGGGGTCACCCACCCCTATGAAGCACAGCAGCACTGACTGAAGGGCTGGGCTGGCTGTGTCTCAATTCAGGGGCTGTCTTCTGTAGTGCACATGTGTAAGCCAATCATTGCACCACGACAAAACCAGTCCTATTTTGTGGGCTTCTTCTTTTGTGACCCACAAATATGATCCACAAAACCCAGAAAATAAGTGATGCATCTGAGTATCCTTTGCAGCCGATGATATCCCAGGACGAAAGGGGTGGAGTTTGAAAAGTCATTGCAGTAATAAAAATTTGTTGTTTAGTAACTCAGCTGATTAAATTTATGCTGTCATCCAAAGTCCAGACCAACTATTTTATTTCACCGCCTTTTTATACAGCCTACCTGGACTACAAAGGATGTGGCCCCTGTTGTGAGCTGCAACCTCTGTAGTCCGTGGGCCCAATTCAAAAAGGACTTTAGGAGTTGGTTGCTTTTAGTTTGATGGTACAAGCATGTTTTCAAGTCATCTAAAATAACATTTTCACTTTCATTACTGAATTGAGACACAGCTACTCTCTGTCTCATCAATCTGGCCACCTCATTGGCAACCGTTGCTGAGTAGTTGTTGCTGTCCAAGTGTCGTCCAGCCAATTTTCTTCGAGCAGGTAAACGTTGAAGGCCTTGCTTGGGTGTCCACCCGTAGAGTGAGGCAGCCAATCAGCAAGTGGAGAAGTATTACTGGTAGAAAAAACATCCCACATGGAAAGGCAGTACAGAAAAGCAACAAGAGGAGAAGCACATTACAGACCTGAGGCCATAACACCTTTTAAGAAATAAATATGAAGAAAATCTGAAATACATTTTTAATTTAAACCATATTTTATGAATTACCATCAGGATTTAGGTCTGTCCATGCTGGTCTTTTATAAATTTGATTCTTCCCTAAAACAAGCCACTGAACCTTTTGCAAGAACCCTGTTGAATTCATAGGTGGTCCTGGATTTTTACGTAGATGGCAAATATATGACTTCCTTTCATCATCTCATTCCTGCTCTACAGCTGTTCAGGTGTACAGTTAGAGGGATAAATGTAAAGAAACTAACATGAAATGAAATACATAAGGATGTGCCTTGATGGAAAAAACATCTTTCATGTCAATGTTGATCACTTGTTCAACAAGCTTATGAGCTTACTGAGTTTTCTTTCTTTAAGGTTGCTTGGTGTGAACAGAGTGGTGATCTATAACACGAGTGTTGGTCCAGATCTTAACCGTCTTCTGCAGAGCTACACCCAAGAAGGATTTGTGGAAATGATTCCTTGGCCCATCGACAAAAACCTGAATCCCTCCAGTGGCTGGCTTTTTTCACAACATGGAGGTGATATACATTACTTCGGCCAGCTCACCACGCTAAATGAGTGCATTTACAGATCCATGGAGCGTTCGCGCTACGTCCTGTTAAATGACATTGATGAGATCATCATGCCGTATCAACACAACAACCTGATGTCACTGATGGATACACTGCAACAGCAACATCCATATGTAGGTTTGCTTGGTTTGCTTAAGCGAAAAACAAGTATTATCAGACAGCTGCAACTTTCACATAGAAAGGCTAAATTACACCAAACTTGGTATGAGTCGTCCATGTTGTATGCCCGACCATACCTGTGGTCACATGACATCATCAAAGCCCTGCCCTCTTACAACAGGAAGTGCCCTCTTTGTGGCTTGGAGAGCTCCATCTCTGACCCTCTTGAACTAATCAGCAACAAATTATGTCAGAACACAAATAAGAATTTGAGCTCGCTTTCATGCACAAATACTTTTTGGTGAAAGGCGTGGTCATGGAGGTGCAGCAAAGTCAGACATCATGCCACTGACATATGGTTGGCTCTAAAATTCCACATATTTTAGCAAATCAGCAGCACCAAATTCACTTTGGTCAGTCTTAATCTACCCCACTACAGGAATGCAGTCCAATTTTGGGGGGGAATGGCCGAATTACCCATCACACTGCTGACATTCGTTTAGATCTGAATTCAACACAAACATTCAATTTGGGGTTGGGGGTTGGCCTACTCTACAGCCCCCTACAATTATTAAAAATTAACCTCAAGACATGCTTGGACCTGGAATCATGAAATTTGGTACACAAGTGTAACGTCACAGGAGTCATGGTCCAAACCCCACTGGTTTGGACCATGACCATGACACCTGGGCTCCGTTTCAGAAAGCAGGCTTAACAAACCTTGGGTTGACACAAATGGTCTCAATCAACCTAACCCGCTCTGTGATACTCAGGGTTTTTGGTTTCAGAACAGCTGATATCAATTGGGTAACTTAATTCTGAGTCAAGTTACCCCTGAGTTCAGTTGGAGCAGGAAGCCCTCATCAATGGAAGTCAGACAACATGATTTACCATGGCAATGGGAGAAAATAATACGACCGGAAGTCTATTTCTTGAAACTAAGAATGTTAATGATGGCATATGGAGAATATCAACATATATTTAAAAAAAAACACAATACTGTTGCTGCTGCAGGAGAAAGAGAGTTAATGAGGCAGTTAACTGCTGATCAAGTCAATGTGTGATTGTGATTTTACCTGATTCTAAACTTTTATTCTTTATATTTATTTTTACTTATATTCTTTATTCAAGTGTATAAAAGTGTGTGTGTGTGCATTATATGTGTGTGTAGGTGAACCCAGCTTGTACCAAACAGACATGGCAGCAAAAAAAGGTTTAATTTTGAAAACATAGTAAAATCAGTTAGGTCCAGGTATAAGCTCTCATGTTCAACCTTTAACAAATAAATCACTTAATTCACTAGCTTCAACACACAAAATTATTGCGTGTCCCCCGAAAAATAATGTACATTTCTCCATCTTCTCTCTGCTAATATTTCATATAAGTTTATTTTACTTTTCATTGTAAATCAGAAAAAGAACTGTGATGGACAATCAGTTGAAGAGGCTCCAGCTCCCTCTGGAGCTCAGCTTTTTTCTGTAATTTTTTTCAGCAGTTTTTAAAACTAAAACTGAATAAACTCTATAAACAAAAATAATAAAAAAAATTATACTTCTGTAAGAATTTAAACCTTTGATCATAACTTCATTAGAAAGTAGAAATGTAAATGAAATTTGATCATATTTATGTCCCTAAATCTTCCTGTGAAACAGCTACAAGCTGGACTTGAAGGAAAAGATTGAAACTTGAGCAATTAAAAACATCTAAAAATGCTTGAGTAGATTCATCCAGAAAGACGTCTAACTCTCCCGACATAAATTTCTGTGGAGAATCAACTCCAACATCTACAGGCTCCTTTAGAAAAGGATACACTATGTCCTGACTCTGTCCTCCTGCAGCTCTCAGTGAAAAAGGAAGACAAACTCAGGATTTGTTCAATAATCCTGCTATGGAGCAGGGTTTGTTCACAGAGTAAGTTGCGGGGGTAAGTTAACTCAGGATAACTGCTATCTGGCTTTCTGAAACCCAAAACCCAGGATGTGCACATAGTTACACCAGAACTTACTCAGGATTTCTACTTATCCTGCTTTCTGAAATGGGACTCTGCTCAGCATGATTGTGTTGTAGTTTGGCAAGATCAATTTAGTCTTGCCCGCTTTGCACAGGTTGGCAACAAATCACACATACATGAGCCGATCTGTGCACAATTTTGTGTGCATCATTATGGAAACCAGCTAAACACATTAGTGTCTAAGTTTGACGATATTGCTTTAACTTCCCCCACTTTGCATACAATTGGCTGTAATTCACACATACATGATTTGATCTGAACCAAATTTTTTGTGCATCATAATGGAGACCTGATCAACACGTGTGTGTAGTAGTTTGACAAGATCACTTTAGCGCCTTGTCCATCCATCTATCCATTCGTCTGTTCCCCTTATGAGATTATTTAAATAATGAAGTCTTGTGATGATTCCAACAAAACGGTCACTACTTAATGGTGACGGTGGATATCAGCAACGTTTGAGTTCTATCTTGTTTAAATTTTATAACATCTTTGTGCTCTTTAGGTTGCTGTATTCCTCATTGAGAATCACAGCTTTCCCAGGATGCACTTTGAGCCAAGTAGAAAGTTTCACCTTCCTCAGTGGAGCCGGGTACCAGGAGTTAATATTCTGGAGCACGTTTACCGAGAAGATCCTGACAGAACAATATATCATCCACATAAGATGATAGTTCAACCAAGGTAGGCTGAGAAAAACATTTAGTGGTTTATTTAAATTTTAATTTAGAGTAAATTTCTTTGTTTGTTGATACTTTAGACACTTACCAAGACACTGGGCCTCATTGAAGAACATTTTAATGTTCTTATCCTAAGGTTCTCTTACTTTTTTTCATACAAAAGGCTCGTATGAACATGCCACGTCAGATTCAGCAAATGCTTCTAACTTCAGGAAAAAAAACATGAGCAGTGTATGGATCCTTCAGCTTAAGACAAGTTAAATTTAAAACCTTTTTGACTGTTTTAATGCCACTTGAAATTAAATTTTTTTTATCAAAGTATTTTTTATCACTCTTCAACACAACGTACAACAAAAAACAAACAACAAACCAACAAAAACACAAACACCCGAAATCCCCCCCCTCCCACCCCCACCCACACCGGATCCACCAAAACAACAAAAATCGATCTTGCACCAATACAAGTGATACAAATAAAAAAGGTTTGTGCACAATGAAACAACACTTGAACTGATTTCCTCTCCAGATTTACCCAAGTAGGAACAGGGTTGTCGTCTCTCAACCAGAACAGCAAGGCTCTAATGTTGGCCGCCCAGTAGTAATATAAAAAGTTGAGGAGTGACAAGCCACCAAGACCATGGGGTAACTGTAGCATCTTACTGGCTATCCGTGGACTTTTTTTTTCCAAATAAAGGATTCACTTGAAATTAAATGTAAGACCAACTTCACAATAACCACAAATGTAAAAAAAATATAGGTAACAACAACTTTACCCAAATGTTTATTTTAACACAAAGCAACTACCTGCAATAAGCATTTAGAACTATTTAATAAATATATGTTACCAATTATTCAATTATTTGAGACGAATTACATTCATCCTACTTACAATATGTTAACATTTTTAAGACCTCTGAAAGACTGATTTAAGGTCTTAATTTTTGATTGAAGAATTCAATATCTTTTAAGACTTTTTAAGGGTCCGTGGCAACCCTGGTAAACATGATGAATGCCACCTGTACATATTCAGTTGCTCGTGCACGAGTGGAAATTAGCATAATCACCACCCCAATAATGCTATATAAGGCTACGCTTCCTGCGCTACATACCAGGAAGTATTCATTCATGAAAATGGCAGGGAAAAGTAAAGAAGAACTTCACAAGCTTGGACACTGAAGACCTGCTCTCAGAGATTCAGAAAAAAAATCTGTCTTTTTAGCAGCGTCAGCTGTGGAATTAAAGTAACTGCTGAAGCAAAGGAATGAAATAATGACTGCAGTTAATGTTAATGCCGTGCCTCCTGTGGGTTGCTACAGTTAGTGACTGTACGACCACGGGTGACATAAATATCAATATATTAAATTAAATAACCACCTTCCAACCAGCACTCCGAGAGTTCTGCTGCTAAAAATAAGTTATTTACTTTTCCCTGTCCTGCTTTGTGCTATCTCTACTGCTGACGGTCTGCCTGTAGACGAATGGTTCTTGCATGAGGCCCACTGTTTTAATTAAAGCACTAAAACAACCTTTGTTGTACCTGTGTCACAGGATGGTGGAGCAGACTTCAGTGCATGAAGTGCTGAAGAATTTTGGACAACGATACAAGGTTCCATTAGATGTCTGCCGGATCATTCATGTTGGTGTTGGTGGATCACCGAAACTGGAGCTCCTTCACGAAGACAAACGACTGTGGGACTTCCACCTAAAACTGATTCCTAACGTGGACAAGGTGCTGAAGAGAGTGGGGATGCTGACAACAACCAAGACTCCAGCCCCACCCTAACTCAGCTAGGCCACATACTATTGCAGGAAATACAGATACTTAAACATTAAATATTTCTTTGATGTTAATCTTAATCAGTAACATTTGAAAATGTGTGTTTTGGTAAACATATTTGTCTGTTTTGTAGGAATTAACATATTTGTAAGATTTATTCAAAATTCGTATTTTCTTATTAGATAACTTGTATATTTTTAAAGAAATTTAATAAAAAAAAATTCATCCCATGCCTTTTTTACTAACCTCTGTTTTGTCTAAATCTTGTAGATGCAAAATATCAGTTAAGTAATATAAAAAGGAACAGCATTGGTGACCCATGTTTTATAATTTATCAGCTTTATGATTCACCACAAACAACTTATTAGGTCTTTATTTTGCTTTTTATTATCTTTTATATTGTAAATAGGCCTACAGCAAAGAGTTGCAAGACAACAACAGCCACCTGTCATTTTAGGCTAGCTTAAGCTAACGTATCATCCCCTACAGTCCGCCTGCACCCCCCCTGCATAATGTTTGGTGAAAATTACAGATTTTTGAGGCTCATTATACAGGTAACCCTCTGAAGGGGTTGACATGGGTGCCTAATCAGTGCCATTCCTCTGTTATTGATTATTTCATACATCCACAAACAGCTGTTAAATTAGAAAATGCTGACTAGAAAAAAATTCCCCACACCGTTTTGGAACCCCCTCTACGTAGTGCCGCGCTCCTATGCGTTGCATACAGTGCATACCCAGTTTTTGCGCCACTGGACTAACCCCTAAAGTTGAGGGCATGTCTTTAGTAACTTTTCCTGTAGTAACTAACTCCGGGACAACGCTCTTCAGACACAATTTTTCTGTTACCATACTGGAGAAGCTGTTTTTCTCCTCAGGGGAATCAGCGCTTGGCGATAAGATCTGAACTCAGGCGTCAGGCGCCAATGAGCAGATCTTAGCCGCAGGCTCACGATACCATCAATCCTGACCAAACAACCAGCTTTAACGCTCCGTGAACCAATCCACAGCTCTACAGCACATCACAGTGGCAGAAACCTTTTCACTAAGGCAGACACCGATGAGTTTCAGAAATTTTATGTTACAGGACTGGGGGTGAAGGATCGACAGACACTAACCTCCAGTTTAAATCTTGTAACTAGACACGTCTTCAGCCTTAGAACAGCAGTCCAGTTGCTTCTTCTTTTTTCTTTACGTTTTCCATATCCTGGTAATCCACAATAGTAATGTCTTTCTTTGGTCGCGGTCTTGTATCCAAACTCGTCACTCGGTTACAAAAAAAAAAAATCATCAAAACATCATGACATTATCTGCGCATGCAGGTCACAACAGTGCTAGAGTTCACAGTAGTCTGATGGAGGTCACATTTAAAATATAATGTGAATGTTCACACACCAACAGGTCAGAATAGAGTATCAAGACCTGAGAGTCCATTTTGCAGCTGCAGGAGTGGGGTGCAGGGGTGGTCCTAAACTGTAATGAATAGGGGGCAGTGCCCCTGTAAAATAGGTCCTGGTCACTGTTTTACTTTAACTACCTAACTATCTAACTATCTAACTAACTAACTAACTAACTAACTAACTAACTAACTAACTAACTAACTAACTAACNCTATCTAACTAACTAACTAACTAACTAACTAACTAACTAACTAACTAACTAACTAACTAACTAAATAAATAAATAAATAAATAAATAAAAATGAAGGTGTTGCACTTTTTGCTTCTCTCTTGTGTGCCCCCATGAAAAGGCACTGGCCCCATTTTGTCCCCCCAGATAAATGTGGTCTAGAACTGCTACAAAGTAAAACTTTATATTTTAGCAGGGAGTGGGACACTTGTTATTTTAATCATAGATAAGGATGATGGTGGGGTATAGACTTGAATTAAAATTGTGTGTAACCTTTTAATTGTGCTTGTGGTGTTACAAAAATCCAACTTTTGTCTTATGAGCCTTTCAAATTTTTGTCTGCACACTTTCCTAGATCCTACTTGTGTTGACAGTCAGTGCTCAGGGGTGTGGTTGTGGCAGCTGTCAGCTCCTCCCTCCCTGGCTGCTCCACAGCTGATTAACTTCAGCTGCAGCTCATCTGAAGAGGATCTCTCTTGGCCTTTAAAGGGAGATCATTTCCACTCGGACCTTCACTGGAACATCAAGTGCTTATGGTACTGTTCACAGCCGCTAAACTATTTGTTTAGTATTTTGTAGCTTACAGCTTTTGCCTTGCTCTTATCTGTCCAGGATTATTGCCAAGTCTCCTGTTGAGACTTCCTTGTGTCAAGCTCTGGAAGTTCCTCACAAACTCGCCTGCCAAACCCACTTGTCCTGTTTTGGAAACTACCACTGAAAACTGGTATTGGGATCACTGTCTACTGGGATTTCAGGTCTAAGCTCCAAGTCTCCACCACACCCAGTCCTGATCAGTTCCAGTGTTCACATTTGTAAATAAACTATTTCTTTATATTCAGTCTCGTGTTGTTCCTCCCTGCCTGCCAAAAATTGTAACTAAAACCCAGTTCTGATAGGGATTAATGAAATAATGTAAATGGAACAGCCATTGTTAGCACTCTCTGGTGGGGGCAATTCCTCTGAAACTTTGAGGCCTGTTTTCTCCCTTATCTTGTTTGCAGATTGCCAACATGGCCATCTTCATTTTAGTTTTGATTGCCATGTGTTTGACATCATTGGATAGCTTGTAACCCACACTTTCAGATTCTGTAAATAACACAAAACACCCCCCTGGGAGACTTGTTGCTGGTTTTCCCATGGCTAGTCACAAAGGCCCTGTCACATTAGACAACTTATGCCAACTTATGAACGTTTTACAGTTTATGGTGATTGCTTTGATCTGTTTGAAGAAACTGGGAACCTCTCAGTCTTCATCACCATCTCAGCAGAAGACACCTCTTGCAAATGTGTTAACCCATTCTCATTGGATTGACACAGTTTTCCCACCCTTTTGCAAAACGGTTAACGCAGATGTCATTCAAGAAGTCCAAACTCCATTTTAGCTGTGGTTACAGAACAGAAACCATCTGCTCCAAGCTCTTAGAAACTCCCTGATCAGTATGAAATCACTGAAAGCACCTGTTTGACACTTCTTCACAGACGTTTTCAATTTGCAATCAGTCTGCAGGCCTCTTATACTCATAGTATGGGCCTACTATAGACTTTTGTTTTTTACTGTAAAAGACTGTTTTTTATTTACCTAATTTCTCACACAGTAAAGGATTTTATTTTTATTTCCATGTATTCTCTCTTGGAATATTTCAGTTGTCAGGCACAGTCTGAAAAAAAGAATGTAATCAATAAAATTTGTATCAAAGCATATCTGCTTCTGGATGCATTTTTTTGCATGAGGGCAAATTTGACTACAAATGGCACTGGCATGTAAGCTACGTACAGTCATAGGCTACAATGACAAGCAGTGGTGCACTGATTCACACGAGTGCTGTAATTTGTATTTTGTTTCCCATTGTGTAATGATTGGCAATTTGAGTCTGAACACCAACTCAAATTGTTGTTCGGCAGCTCACCTGGGTTTTATTCTTTGTTGTTGTTGGACGGCTTCTTCTTCCAGTTGACTGACTGGGTATTCAAACTAGGTATCGAAATTTAAAAGTATGAACGATTCCGGAAGGACTGAAACATTAGTCCTGGTTCCAATCGATACTCAAGACTCGATGCCCAACCCTAAGGAGTGGTCACAGAGACGCTGTTCAGCTTAAGAAAATAAAATGTTTGTTGAAAAAATGTGCCCCCTTTAAATTGTTTCTGTGGCCAGGTCTGTTCTGAACTCACACACAAATAGATAACACAGGTCAATCACACCACCTTGTGCCACCTAAGGTGACCAGCTGATTTGATCCAATCTGAATGTAAGCATGACTGTCCATACCATTCAACACCAAGGAATGTGCAATCTGTAGAGCTGAATTTATATATTTTTTAATTTAAGTTAAATCTTTTCATCACTATTTTTAAGTGGATATGTTTGCACTGTAAGAGGAGCTGCCTGTATCAATCTTGTTTGACAATAAAGGTATTCATTCATTCATTCATTCATTCATTCATTCAATAATTACTGTCAGCTAAAGTGAACTAAAATCTGTTCAGAGTTCACAAGATTTCATATTATTTTGTTAATTGTCTTTTTTCTTAACACCCCCATCCCCGCTGCCCCAACCCCCAGCATTTAAACCATAGCCCCTGCTTGACTTCTGTTTTTTTTTTTTTTTACACGTTGCGCAAACTACAGTACTGTCCAATAGCTTTAAGCCACCTCTATATTTACAGCTGCCTTCCAAGAATTCTGTCTTGTAACCATTAACAGTGGCCTTTAATGTTTCTCTAGGTTTTTTGATTATCGTTTCTCTCTCTGCCTCTCTCTTGGTTACTGTTTCATTCAGTTTCAGTCTTTGAGCTGTTAAAAACAGTTAATTACTTTTCTCTTGCTTGTGAAATATTCACACATAAGACTCCTGAGCTCAAGGGATAAACCAGAGTTGTTGACTCATGACACAAAAAATGTTTTAAACTTGAACCTTTAGGCTCTTTGTTATCAGCAGCCTGTCATAAAGACACAAATTGTCCCTATTTCCTTAGCTGAATCTATGAAAAACTCAAAAGATAAAGTTTGACAGAAAATAGGGTTTTAGTAATAATAAAGTGATTCCAAAAATACTGTTTGTCATAATTAGTTTGTCTTACCAGGACCAGTGGTCTAATGAAAACTTATAAAAACAAAAAACTGATGGGGCAGCAAAATACTGTACTTGCTCAGTATCCCAACAAGAGGGAAATTCCAGAGAGGCGGGAAGCACAGAATCAATGCAAAACAACTGGGACCCAGGAGTGCAGAAGACAAAACGTTATGACGTCACACTGGGTGTTGCAAACACAAAGTGTGTATGGGCTGGGAAATGTAAATAGTGACAGCAGCTGGGATGACAAACAGATGATGAACTGAGCTATGAGAAGAATCCGGAGATCACAAAAGGGAAACAA